CCAGTCCCACAGAACGACTGCATGCTTCAGCACGGATTTCTCTGCTAGTTGGATCCCAGGAGGCCTTATTGAGTGCAGCGCTGCTCGGGGAGTTGCAGCTGTATAAAGTGGGGAAAAAAATGTAGTTTGTACGAATTGTTCTTTACCTTGGTTTGGGTTCAGCATGGCAGCTGCACTCCGACTTTGTGTGTGACAGCACAAAGGACAGCAAAAGTGAAAAGCAAGTCAGCAAGTAGAGAGACAAAAGCAACGATCAGCTAATACAGCTCCACATGGCCTAACTAATTTATGAGAAAAAAACTGTTCTGTTCATTGGATCAGCACTCTGAGGAGGCAGGTGGAATTGTAGGAAGTTTTCACTGAGTCTCTGGAGCAACTAAGGAAGCCACTAGAGATTCTTCTCAGTTTGAACTTTATCAGGGTCTACGCTTAATCAATATGGTATTGGAAAAAGAATTAATTACTAAAGCAGAATAAAACAGCTGCATTTTAAACTAAGGATCCATCAATTCAGTAATCTTCCAGTTACAGGCTAGGTGCCGTGAGGATCATTTTGACTTCATGTAATGAGGAACTGAGGGAGTTTCCTCATGAACAGGCTGGGAATTCACATTAGCCTATTTCAGCTATTTGTCATCAGTACAACTCATTTCTCCCCTTCTGAATTACAATTTGTATTTGATATACTGTCAAACCCACAAAATTCCCATATTCATGGAACTGAAAGCATTAATGCGGAAATCATTGTCACCATGAGAAAAAGTCTTAACCTTCCTGAGCCTCTTTATTCTATAGGCTGCGGCTCGAGTGGTTTCATGCCGGACATACCTCTATTGTGTTCATTGTGAGGGTCAGGGACCTGCCTGTTGAAGAAGCAGTAATTTGAACACAGCCTGTAAATGTTTCATCTGTAATTTCCATAATGGTGAATTTCAAGGAGGGCTGAGAAGGGTTATGGGAGATGAATTAGGTTTTTAGTGAGCTCATTAGGAAGCCAAACAGAGTTTAGACAGCAAGGCGGTGAGTGTGGCTGTAATCAGTTCTGCTCGCTTTGTTCCCTGCCTTCGGGACATTTTTTGAAAACTTCATGGCAGGGGCTGATGAGAATATACTGAGCAGAGGCTGCAATCTGATGGTTGACTTGTTGATTTGTAAACCTCTTAATTCATTTTTTGTTCAATTTAATCTTTTCTTTCTTAAGGAAAATTAGTTGAATGTTAGCCCTCTTTGCACTATTCACCTCTTAAATTATGCTCATTTTGAGGAGCTTGTTATGCCTGAATAAACATGAAATGACTTGGCATTTTCCCATAAGAGGCACACCCATTTTAATACCATGTATTTACCATTCCTGGAAATGTCTCATTAACTTCTGAAAATCTGTGAGCATGATATTTTTGGGCTACTGTAACACACCTCTTGGCAGTCACAGAAGGCAGTTTGGTTAATGCCTCATAATATCCATTTTTATTCTCAACATGAAGAAAGGCTCTCTATAGAAAATTGATGCAGTTTGCTCTGCTAATTTTCATGCTCATTCCAATTAATTTAACATGACCCAGATTTTCTTCCTCGGGCTCATCCTGACTAATTAGTAAGGCAACACCTAGAACAAGTTCTGTTTAATAACATTGAGGAACACTAGTTGTGAGTGATTTTGATGCTAATAAAGATATTCACTGATGGGACAGATATTTGATGTCAATTATAGTATGTAATTTAGAAGTCCCAATGTGCTGGATAGAGTATAGGAAGGCTGGCAAATCACTATGGGAGATAATTTTTTTTCTTTTTGTTAAAAAGACTTCCAAAGCACCTAGCTATCCTCAGGGACCAATTAGTTTATTTTTTTGGTACAACTAGTAGTGCTGTCAACTAATTCCACAGTAATAGATGGGGTGGTGCTGCTAAGGACGTACAATCTGTGAACCATCAACGGCCAGGGCCCAGGCTTGCATTATTTACCGAACCTTTATCACATACGGGAAAAGCCACCATGGGTACCAGAAAGCAGCACTAGTCGAGGAGAAAAGGATGGCCTACTCATCTCCTTGATTTAGCTTCTCTTTCCTTGCCATTGTCCAGATGAATCTATTTTGTAAGAAATAAACAGGGTTGAAAAGGGGGCCTCGTTAGTGCTTTGTAAATGAGTTACGAACGCTGGTGTTTCTTATTTCAGAAAAATGGCCCCAGATCTGCACTCCATGTGATAACTCTTTCCTGTGCTCTGAGAGCCAGGGAGAAGTTATCTCCATCCAAACGCGCAGGGCTGGTGCTCATGTAAGTGTCCTCGCTGCGAAGAGACCGGCGACGTGGGCAGGTCCCAGTTCCTCTGAGCACTTCTCCTCCTCCCTGGGAAAGCTGGCTCGCTCTGTGTGTGTCGTCCATGCTGACAGAAACACAGCGTGTGCGGCAGGTGAAGAGTGAAGTCCAGAGAGTGTTTTGCCTTTGAGTTCATCAGAGGTAGAAACAGGAAATGACAAATCTGAGTTTTTTCACTCGGTCTCTCAAAACAAATTCCCATGTATGCCACAGGAACCAGAGATGGAAAAAGATTGGATGACAATACTGTTCATACTTCATGATTTTGATCAGCCACAGATACAAAAACCTGTGTGGTCTCTTTACCGAAGTTACAGCACTAAGACTTACTTTTACTCCTAGTAACGTAAATGGAAATACTGCTATTTAGCTGAAGGAGAAAAGAAATAAGATGTCCTTGTGCGTCTATTTTGATCACACATTCTAACGGAGCATTTCAGGATGTAAAGAAAGCATGTTCTCTTTAAGATATGCATTTAGAGATGAAGAAGAATTAGTGAAAACAATAACCATACTCAGACTTGAAAAAATGTACCGCTCAAATGAGCGCAGGAGTGCATTGACATGTTTGTCTTTAAAAGTAATAATATATAATATTCACTTATCTAAGAGCCACCACCAATTACTATCAAAAGGAATATTATGTATTACTTTTAAAGCAGTTTTCACTGAAAGCTGTGTTCCTTGCTCATTTGAGCACTTTTGAAAATCCTTATCCCTAAAGTTTGCTGAAGGTCAGTTTCTGAGCCAATAACAGAAAACGGAATAGAATATCTTGTGTTAGATAATGCTCCAACACTATCAGTGTCTCAATTCTTAGCCTGCTACATAAATCTCTGGTAAGTTTTAAAAGCTGACATAGTAAAACAGGTAAAAATACCGTAACTACAAAATTGCAAAAGGGAGTTAATGTCTTTGAGGCAAATCTTAATTGCTAAAATCCTATTTGGGTTTTTTTTTGACTACCAAGCCCTCTCATTGGCATCATTTCACAGAGTTTTTAAGAGGAGAAGGAGAAGGAGAGAGATGGAGGGGCTGTGTGAAGTTTCTTCTAATGCATAATGCATTTAAACACTGTAGTTTCCGGATTGATGCCACTAACCAGCTGAGAAACGATTCCCGTGAACAGCCTTGCAGTAAGGAGTCAGAGATGACCATGTCTACGGTGATTCCTAGCTGGTGACAATTCTGTTGTTCTGGGTCAGCGGTGAATACCTCACTCAGATGGTGCAAAGTCAGCCAGTTCTTAATTTTTTATCTCCTCAAGAGTGCATTCAGTGGCTTTATCACTGAGAAGAATGACTCCCCTGCCTAGTGTGATCAAGATCTGGAAATTTGCTGCATCAGCACATTCAGCCCAGACTGCCACTTGATTGGTGGAGCTTAGATTTGATCTTATGGCATACATGTCAGTTCTCTAACTGGCTAGGTGAACAGCCTGTCCAGAGGGAAACTCCATTTTACCCATCTGAATGAAGAGAAGTCTCGTAACCTGCCAGGGTTTTCGTTTGGGTTTCCTAGGGGAGCGGGGTGATGGAAGTTCTCTGGAGCCCAACTTATGAGGTCCTTCCCTAGGAAGAGCTCAGGGACGCAAACCATTCTGGGAAAACTTTGTAGGCACTGCATATTAGTCTTTTGCAACACTTTCTGCTACAATGAAAGACTTGAAATGAAATTACAGGTTTATGAACAGAAAAGCAAAGCATCAGGTGTCAGAGTGGGGGTCTGTGCTTTTTAGTTTTGTGCTGTGACCTTTTAGGCAAATAGTGTTATAACAAGTCAGTGCCCTGTGGTTTTGCTCTTTTTATGCTTCCTTATTGTCTAAATCAAATTAATGGAAACTTTTGTCAAACGCTTTTCCCTATGTTTCTATGAAATTACGCATTGCTCTGTCAGTTATTTTGATCACTTAAAGCAGATCCAAAGCATCCTATGGGATTGCTCGGGTGTGGAGAGAGGAGAAGGCCATGGCCTTCGCTTCTTTTTTGTTTGTTTGTTTTACGATATTATCTGGTTACTGGAAACAATCCAGTAAAACTGGAAGATGGGAGAAAATAGGTTGCTTGTAAGCCTTTCTGATATCAGAAAAGATCTCTTTATGTTTTTTTTTGTCAACCAGTTGAAATTTTCTGACCAGAATTCACATGTCTGTATGCTTGCTGCTTCTTCCAGTTTGAGGCATTTGGATATTCTTAACTGTATCTTCCCTCATTGCTGAAGCCAAACTCTAAGAAACTAGTAGGGACTAACTAGGGGCTTCGGTTCTTAAATGTTTGCTCTTATAATCTGTCTACTGAACTTGAAAGACAAAATGTTTCAGGCCTTTCCAGTAACCACTTTTAAGCATCCAATGTATATAGCAGATGAGGTATAGATGGTTTACACTTTACCTTTACAAGGCTTCTTGGAGGAAGACTCCTGAAAAATATTACCCCAAAAGTAAATATGGGCAGATCCAAAGCACGCGGTTGTCAGCTGGAACGTAATTCACCAGTGGGAGTGAGCACCGGATCGAGCCCTTTGTTGTGAGCACCAAATAGCATACCACTTATAAGCAGAATTAGTTATTGTTTCCAAATACCTAGCACACTATATTTAAAGTACGGGCTTTAACTTAAACCTACAAGAGTAGACTGTCAGTGTTCCCACGTAACCCTTCACATTCTGGCATTTTCCAGACTGCCAGCCAAATGAACACTTTAGGAGGAGGTGCATATATATGTCCGCAGCACCCAGCGGGTTAATCCACCCTACTGTGCATAGGTGTTGGAGCTCTTATGGTATGTAAGACTTGCCAAGTTTGGGGTTGTTTTGTATTTTTTTATTTTTTCTGGACTATGCATTCACAGCAAGCATCTTTTCTGATGCTGCTCAAGTGTTTGTGAATGCATATCGAGATGGTACTCTTATTTGTGTTTTATGTAACATACGCATTTGTGTACATTTTATCACCTGGAAAAGCTTTTATGGTTCATTTTGACACTTTTCTATTAAAACATCTTTTTTTTTTTTTAAGCATTCTGCCATCCTCCATTTTTTTATATTCATCTTAAAATAGACTAATGTGCATTTTGGACTTGTGGCCTAACAAATGTCCTTTTTAATAACCGAAGCTTTTAACTTAGTATCTCTCAGGAATAAATGTCTGTTACATTTCTAGTGCTAACTTTTTTTGGAAATGATGAAAAAATCCTATGAATGTGTACTTGTATGCAGTACTTCAGCTGGTGCTTTTTTAATAGCTGAATAACCCTGAAAAGAGAGGTTTCTAATGTAGACAGTATATGGACTCTTGCTGTATTAGTGGGCATCATTTTAAGGGATGTCTCCTGAACAAGCTGTTGTGTCCAACAGCATGTTTTCTAAGGGGAACTGCAAGATGTTAAAATATCTCACAGTTTATAAGTTTGTAGCAGCTGTAAGGAAAATTGAGATACTCTGATGGCTATTTTCCATTTTAAAAAAAAGCCATTTTTATTCGTAAAGAAATTACATTAATGATTTAATGAAGAAGAACAGTACAGGATGTTAGCCATCATCTACTTTAAGTTCTCCACATTCTGCTATATATAAACAACTGCAAAATGTTAAAGGTTAAATATTGATGAGACACTATTGAGCTTAATTACTTAACTTCAACTGCAGGTAGAATTTTAATTGAACTTGGTTATTTTCTAATGACAAAAATAACAGGATAGCAAATAAGAAATGGTACTTAAAATAAAATATAGCTTTTTAATGTATACTAACTTTGGTACAGTTGATTGAGGAAACTAAAAACACTATCCCACTTATCCAACAGGGATAGAGAACTAAAAAAAGAAAATGGTCTCTTAAAGATTCTGTGATTTAGGCAAAAAAAAAAAAGGGGGGTTTGTCTCCTGATTTCTTTAATGACTTGTTATTGTTGTCTCAGCTGTAGCCAAAGTCTGCAGCTGGTATTCTTAACAGAATTACTACAAGAATGCTAAAAATATTTCTCTAAAAATATATAAAAAAGCAATTTAAAAAGAACTCCATTTAGACTGCAGCACAAGGACATTTTGTGTGACAGCATTTAGTAGGATGAAAAATTTAAACAGAATAACAGCTATTTGCATTCACACTGCAAAGCAATTACCAAAGCAGACAAAATACTTAAACCTAATTTAATAATGTTTTCCTTCAGCCTAGGTGCCAAAACCTGGGAGTAAACTTCCCAACTTGTGCTGAGGTGGGGAGGGGGAAATTGAAGTTAAAACCATGTAGAAACAAGTGCATTGAACACTTTCCTGGTGAGGTACAAAGTGAGTTTCACTTTTAAACAGAAGAGCATCATAAATCAGCATAAACCACAAGTTTTAATGAGTATATCTCATCTGGAATTGTGCAGTGCTTGCAATTCTGTGTGAACAAGACAAGGATCTGGTCTTACACTCCTTACTCTGGCAAAACTGCCACTGACATTAATGATAATTTTGCTTGAATAGAACAAAGTGGTTGATGGAGGTTATGCCAGCATGAGGAGTGCGAGATTAGGATAAACGTGCAAAAAAGTACAACTTCAAATGGCTGTACCTTTGACTTCTCGAGCTAGCATTTCCTCCAACTACAAGGATCTTAATTATAACATTTGCTGGTTCAAAGATTAACATTTAGCATTCTGGGAAAGACTTTCTGGACTTTAGTAACCTGATCAGTACGGTCTCCTTTTGGTCTCTGCCTCTTTCTGGTTCTTTGTATTGCAGGGGAGATGATAGTATCTGGCACATTCCTTGGATGACTTGAAGATAGCAGCCTTCTGTGTTTGGGGCTGAAAGATTGTGAACTCTGTGTTAGCAGAAATGCCACACAGGGGAGGTGAACAGAACATTAAAGGAGCTTTAGCTTTAGGTACTGCAGCGCAAGCAGAGTTGAATTTGAGAGCTGGGACTTAAGTGGACATTTGTCCCTGCTTTCTTCCTTAATAAAATCTGAGTGTTAACTGTGGATAAGGGCATTTGAGAGATCACTAAAAATGAATCATTGAGTGCCCAGAAGAGCTTTATTATGATATACTATGGAGAACTTTAGAATACTTTTTATGTGTTTATCGGATGCATGTATGAGTTACTATTACAGAAGTAAATTGTTTTGTTCTTTGCTACAGAAGCAAAATTATTCGCCGAATTAAGACAACAAAATAAAACTCATCAAAAACTGGATCTGTGTGGTCCTTTCTGGCCCTGTGTTCCCATCTAATTTTCTTTTGCCCCATGAAAGGCTATTGAGCAAAAAAATACAAGCTCCAACCAGCAACGTTTGCTGTGCTTGTGTGCATGTAAACCATTTTGAAAAACCCTGACACAAATACTAAACCTGGAAAAAATCTCAGTGTAGAAATCCTGACGGGCCAAACGAAGTTAAAAAAAAAGAAACTAAATTTTAAAAATCTCCAGACTGATATCGGGTTCCAGAACTGAGTCCTTGTAGGCAGAGCCAAGAGAGGTCGCTTGGTTAGTTTGTTTGCCCCCGTAGCAATTAGATAGACGGAGTTATTCTGCTCCTGAAGTTCTGCATGGATGTTGCCACTGCCCGGTTAACCAGTGTGAAAATACCATGGAAAATAAATTATTAAACTATACTGTTATTACTAACTTGCCAGCTCCAGAGAAACAAATGCAGCCACATTTACATATGTGTCCATCTGTCTGTTTTTACACTTTATGTCTTCAGCCAGTAGGTGAAATTGTTTTAATCCAAGCTGCAGTCTGATTTTTTTTTCTTTTCTGCTGATATTTTTCTGTGTGTGTATGTTATTTGTAGATGGACACGCATATTCTTGACAGTAGCTAGTTCTTAATTGTCCTTTTAAGTAACCTAATCTATCTGGCCACGGTAGTTTTAACTGGAGTAAGCAGCAGAGTTCTCCATGGATAATTTTCGTTAGTTAGCAGATTGTTACCATCTCAATGTTGCTGAAATCCCTAATCTCAGGTCAGCGTGAAGCTGCAGTGGTTACAATCCTGTTGCCTGATGCAGTGTGAATGGAAGTGCTTTCTGTCAGAAACATGTGGTCTCTTCAGTGGAGAGCCTGCGTAAATCCTGTGTAAATAGAGGGAGGCTAACAAAGGATGAGCCCCTGCAGCTCAGAGCATTTGGAGCCATTTGGAGGCTGAATTTGCTAAATGCTGCTTATACCGCCTGAAAAGTTGAAGAGAAAGGAGCATAAAATCCCTTCTTTTTTCTCTTTCTGCTCCTACCCTGGGGGGAGGGTGTTAAGGGCCAGGGAAGCCTGAGGTAAGCCTATGAAGACTGTTTTTTCAGTGCTCTTTTGAGTGTGAAAAAGGTGGCATGGGTCACTGTCCCCTCTTTAATGTCGGAAAACCCACACAGTTAGTAAATGTTGCATGTAAACTAAAGCATTTCATCCCTTCTCCTGCACTCCACGGCAGTAGGCCATGAACTAGTCACTTGAAAATCGCAGAAAAATTTCACTTCAACATGTCCGGACAGTTTAGCACAGCAGGAACGTAAGAGAGATCAGTAATTAGCAGGTTGCTTTACTGTTCCCCTTGTCTGCATTGGAACACTTTTTCACCTGATGTGAAAAAATGTTGGATTATAATGAACAAACCACAAACCTACTGGCTATATAAAAGAGCTTAAAATTTAAACTGGTGTTTATTAGTTTTGTCTTTAAAAAGCTAGAAAAATATGTTGTTGGCTTTTGAATATAATCTCTAAGAATTCTCGATTCACTTCACAAATAAACACGAGCTTTCAACACAGACAATTAAGGGCACAAAACAGCCAGTATTTTTTCTTATTTTTGGACAGGAAAACAATAAAAGGGGAAATGTGAAACGTTACAGTTCTGCAAATAATTTTGAAAGATCTGAATCACCAGTTTTATAGCATGCATGACTATAACAATAACATAGCTGGAATGTCATTCCTACCTTCGAGTAAATAATAAAATATTTGTAAATGCCTTTTTGAAAATAAGATAAATTGCTGATCATAGAAAGGTGCCTATCCAGAAATAGAAAATGAACAGTTTTTATTCTGTCTCTTGTTGTAAATACAATTTAGACACCAGATACCGTGCAACTCTTTAAGCCTTTAGCACATATTGCCAGATGGCAATAAGGACTTGCTCCTGACTGACAAACTATGCTAAAATGTGATTTGACCGAGTAGAATAGTTTTGTAGGTAAGGTCTGATAGTGGCTTAAGTTCTCTTCCTTTTCTTCTGATTTGCATTTACAATAGTTATTAATGCCCGGATTGTGTGAAATTTGTACATGTCATCTTTACTGTATCAGCCCAGTGGAATTGCTGGGTTATATTCTGGAAAGCAAACGATCTTGCAAAAGAACAGCAGAGAGAAGGCCAGCTCTTCATCTCCTCCCTGCTGCTAGAAGGGCAAAAGAATAACATCTTCTGTAGTAAGAGAGATGGTAGTGCTATATGTCTGAAGTCTTCCTGTTCCATCTAGTGCACCAGTGTCCAACCTTTCTTTCTCTCCAAGATGCTCACTGAAACATACGCCATAGCACCATGAGACATGTGTCTGGTGTCTCGAGACACAAAAGGGAAGGCAACACAGGGGACTGATTACAGCAGCTCACTTGAGGATACCCCGCTCCAAGATGGGACAAAGGGTGGCTGAGCATGCAGGTCAACCCAGAATGCCTGTGTCAGGCCTAAACAGCTTCTGATGGCACCTTTCCTCATCAAGTAATTCAGCAAAATCAGCACACGTACTGGCAGAGCACTGCTGACGATGGCACAGCTCTAAGCTGGGATGCCCACTTGA